TCTGAATCCCAAATAAAACTGATAGTACTCATCTGTCCATTTCCTGTTCTCATTTAAGAGAAAAAAACCAGCCTGAGAACAGTGATTTCTGGGCCTTGGGTAGCTCACAATGGCATCTTTGGACAAATATTGTTGAATGTAAGTTTCTTGGGACTATCATAACAAATGACCTGACTTGGAGTGCAAACACCGCTGCGTTAATCAGGAAGGCACAACAACGGTTGTATTTTCTAAGGATTCTTAGAAAGCAACAATTGACTGAGAGTTTGTTAATCACCTTCTATCGGAGTTCAATTGAGAGCATATTATCCTACTGTCTCTGTGTATGGTTCACGAGCTGCACAGTGGCAGAGAAAAAGGCAATTCAAGGGGTGATCAAGACGGCCCAAAACATCATTGGCTGTTCACTCCCCTCTTTGGAAGAATTGTATAAGAACAGATGTAAGAGGAAGATATCTAACATACTGAAAGACTCCTCTCATCCGGGATATCAGCTCTTTAAACTATTACCATCAGGAAGGAGATTCAGGGTATTGAAAGCAAGGACAAGCAGATTCAAGAACAGTTTTTACCCAAGTGCAGTATTGAGTTTAAATGCGGGGCCATAGGTTTTTGGTGGAATTTTAATTGCTGAGAGAAAACGGGGTATCTATATTTGGATGGTGAAAGTTGTGTATATTTTAACTTTTTTTTGTAGTGTTGTCCAGTTTTACCTTGGGGAAGAGCACCTCATTTCGTTGCACCCACTTGTGACCGCAATGACAAGTAAATTTCTTATGTCTTATGTCTTATATACCCTTCCCTTTCTAACACTGGAACCCTTTGAAGTAGTTGCTGCTAGATTTTAGTGCTAAATTAGACTTATGAGTCAGATTGGGTGTTTGTGCCGTTTGGGTTGTACTTCATTTTAAAACTCTATATTTACCAAACCAATTAATCTCTTTCTCCCTCCAAAATTGTGTTTCAACATTTTCAGCTAGAAGAGCTTCCAGGCCCAATGTTTTGGGGGAACATGGCAGACTTAAAACTCCTCTACCTTCATGATAATGGAATTTCAGCATTGGAAAATGTGCATTCATTATCTTTCTGCCCTAATCTTACTGCTCTCACCTTGTTCAATACTCCACTATGCCTGAAAGTAGCCTATAGGCATATTGTTGTCAACAGCATTTTTTCACTCAAGGCACTGGACTATTATGTCATTTCTGATGAGGAAATAATTGAGGACTGGAGGCTTCCTGCAAAATATAAACCATTTACTCCTAGCTTTTTTGTGGATTTTTGTCCTCTTGTTGGGAAGGTAAGCAAATTTAATAGTCTAGTTATTTAAGCATGCCTTCATGGGAATATTAAGCTTGAAGTATACTGTAATAATCCCTAGCCATTAGCTACAATACTGAAACTGTGTTTGTACACTCAGAATTCTATAGCTATATACGTTTTCTCTTTTCCTGAAAGACTTGGGCATGCACTTTGTGAAATTTTGATGTTTTCCATGGATTGTTTATGTCTCTCAGAAGAAAGTCATTAATAGATCCAAATCTGGTGATAAAACATGTTCTTAGTTACTGTTAAGGCCCAGGTGCAACAACAGGGCCATTTTATGTAACCAGCTAAAGCTAAACCACATCAGTAGCTAGTTTCCACTCTCTTGAGGTCATAGGATCTGCTAAAAACCAGGATCTGCAAATACTTAAGCTGAGGCCTGAACTATGTAGTCATCAACTTTTTTCGGTCCGTGGACAGGCTGGGGAAGGCGAGGCACCCTGCACGCTCATGTGCATGTGTGAACAAGTGCTCTCTTGCACTAGCGTGTGCCCCTGTGCAAGCGCTGCACTGCTGTTTGCACATGCACTCTCTCACTCATGTTCATGCGCAAATGGTGGCATGCTCGCATGGGCAGGCACTCATGCGAATGCGCAAATGGCAGCATGCCGCTTGTCTGGGCGCACTTGTGCACATGTGCAAACGACAGTGCGGTGCTTGCACAGGTGTGCTGGAGCTCATGTGCAGGTGCAAACGGGCTGTGCGGGGGTGAGTGTGTGCGGGGGGTGGGGCGGGAGGTCTTTCTCAGCGGTCCGGTCTGGCTTAGGCCATGGGCCGGCACCGGGCCTTGGACCGGGGGTTGGGGACCTCTGTATTAGAGAATTCCTTAGCCACTAAAAGCATCAGATTGTCCCACCACAAGCTTCCTTCATATGACTGCAAATTAGTTTGTTTTGTTTTGTATTTGACCTTTGGGAACTAAGCATTAGCTTTGTTTGCAAATATTTACTCTGTATCATAGGAAGAATTGCCACAAACAATAAAGAATGGAAGAAAACCATTAATCTCCACTCCAGCACAATGGAATAACAGGAAGGTATTATTCACCTCATTTAGGATCTTTTTTCTAAGTCCTATTAGAGAAATCTCTTGCCAGGATATACAGAGATATTTTATGACATAAAAGAAGGTTAGCAAGCACTTACCAAGATTCCTCATCCAAGCTCATTGCTTTTAAACATTATGAGTAGAAAAAGTACAAAATTTTAAAGAACAAAGTATTTTGATACATGTGAATAGACCATTCTTATATTTCCCCTCTACGCTTTTTAATAGGAAATTACGTTTCAGGAAGAAATGAAAAGGGTAAGAGAGATAATTTCCAAGATCAATTATGTTCTAGCTCATCATTCACCAGTTGTGATTATTCAGAAATGGATAAGAGGATATTTAATTAGAAAAAGATTGTGGTAAGTATATTTTTACTTAATTTTAATCAGTAGATGTTTTCATGCAGAGTAGAGTGTCTAATTTAAGCTGGCTTGTCAGATGTCTTATCAAACATACATAAATATGTCTAATACAGCAAACATGTTACAAGCTGTCTTAGAGTGGATGTTTCAACATTGTGTGTTAGGACAATTTAATTTGGAAAATATTGTGTATGGGAAAACTGTTCATCAGGTTTCCCCAGAAAGTATCATAATTAAGGGGCATAGCTGTTGATACTTCAAACTATATTGAGTACTTTTGCTGCCATGTACTTTGTACTAGTTTGTAATCTATAACCCATTAGAAGTGCATGGTAAAGCACATGTTCACTTAATGATTCTCAATATTTATTAACTCAGAATATTTTTATCCCACCTTTCTTCCCAAAAGGACCCAATAGCACCCAGCATATCTATAGGGTAATGCCATTAAAATCTGAAGCCGATTAATTCTGAACAATTGCATCTTTGAATGTATTATGTTGAAGCACAAACGTGTTGTCTGTATTCTGGTGCAAGTTCATGGTTTGTGACATTGTGCTTATAAGCTGTCATTGGACGTATTTGGCTTCAAGTCTTAAGACTGGATTCTTCACGGAATAAAGTAATTAATCTTTCTTTTGAAAACTTCTAAACATGTTGTATGGCTTTGGTCATTGTGCATTTCCTTAGACCCAGAGCCACCCAGAAGCTGCATCAGTCCTTACACGTGAAACTGGAAATTATTGGGAGATCAGCTTTTAAAGAAAAAAAGTCTTGGGCTCCCACATTTAGTTTTAATTAAGAACCACATCCCTCGTAGCCTCAATTTAGACTTTATGACTCCCACCACTTTTATACAATGTTATTGATTATAATCTGTACATAATGATAAGTATTACAGATGTTAACTTCCTTAAATAATATCAAAATTGAAATACAAAAAATACTTTCAGAAGTGGGTTGTAATATTGCAATCTCTACTTACGATAAAATGACAAGGTTTGCCCCATGTGATCAGTTATTAAGCCCTTGTTCATTTTTTTCTTTTGATTTTTCAGTCTTCCATGAAATGATACTTTTAAAGAGGTTCAGTAATTGCTGTGTATCTTGAAGTGCCTGTTAATTGATATCTAAAAGGCATTGTAATGAATATGTTAACATCTACTATGTATATGCTTTTTATTAAAAACATAAAAATCAGAAGAAAGAAATGATGAGAAATATAGGTGTTAAATTTGGTCAAGACCTTACGCATGAAGACTAAATTATAAGTGTCTCTGTTTCATAAATAATTATAATTGGTTTTCCTGATCCTGCCCCTGTCAGTTTTGTGGACTCATAACCTTGAAGAAATAGTTCTTAGCATATAACATTATCAGTGTTAAGTATTTTTACTGTATATTTTAGGTGCATTGGAAAGTCAACTGGCATGCCACAGTAGTAATTTCAGGTTGTTTTAGAACTGGGTCTTGTGGCCAGACATCAGAGCTGATATAGCATTGTGGTTAAAGCAACTTAGGTTTTAATTGAAAAACAGATTTTTTCAAATTTTTGTTCTGCCCTGAATTCATTAAGTGGTGTTAGATAAACTACTATTCTCTCTCTCAGCTTTTCTACCTGAAATATGATAGATGTTTATTACAGGATTGTTGTTGTGTGTGAACTGCTTTGAGTACTACAAATTGATAATGATTATTATTATATTACCCAATCTTGTCATAATATTGAATTGGTCAGATAAAATGGCAGTGTTCTGAGGTGAGGATAATAAAGCATTGCAAGTGATTGCCAGCTATAAATGCACCGTTAGGAGCCTAGTGAAGTAACAAGATGATAGACCTGGCAATGTCTTGAGTATACATGTACCCTTTCTACATAAATTCTAATTAAATGTTGTGAGCTATCATTCCCTAATGCAGGGGTCTCGAAACTTTTCAGTGGGAGGGCCACATCATATATGCTCCACAGTTTTGAGGGCTGAAGGAAGACGTGTGTGCACATACCCGCATGCCTGCATGCACTCCTGCATGCCCACCCGCATGCATACGCACTCTTGCACACACGCACTCCCTCATGAATGCCTGCACACTGCGCCAGATTAAAATGCAAGGCAGGCCAGATATGGCCCGTGGGCTGTAGTTTGGAGATCCCTGCCCTAATGGATCTCCAAAGTAGGATTTCAGGTGGTACAGAGGGCTGTAGTCCAGTCATATTAACAGACATCAGTCTCTGTGTTGTTGGATTTAAGTCATATATTCTACTCAAGGGTGATACTGCTTCTACTACTATCAATAATATTTAGAAATTGATGTTCTGGAAACTTTAATACATGGACGTTTGTTGACTTGATTGTCCTTTGAATTACTTTATTTTGAAATGTCTGAGATAGAAAGATACAACAGGTAGCCTCCTCAAATACTTTAGCTATTCTGGGGATTCTGGAATGTAATCCTGATAAAGTAGAGTGAACAGTGATTTTTTTTTAAAAAAAACTTTTTAATTTTTGTTGCTTCTACTTTTTTTCCTCCCAAGCTGCTGCTCAAGCAGTGAGATATCTTGGAAGAAATACTATAATTTTTACAATCTTTTAGAACCTGGTAATATTTCAAGGTTGTAGTTCTGTGCATATTTACCTGAAAGTAAATTTCACTGAACTGAATCATATGTATTTCTGCGTAGACATGTATAGGAGTATACGTTTATAAGTGTCATGAATTAATGTTGAAATTTGGAAGCAATTATCCTCATTCGACAAGTGCAAAAAAGTTATTGCAAACTGTTGCTGACAAAGAGGACAGTTCTGAAGTATGAAAAGCTTAGAAAGCATTAGTCACATCATGGAGAGTTTACTTCTTTCAAATAACACAGGCTTGTTCTGCCTTCCATTTGTTTAACATCTGGTTATTGAAAATATGCTGTCTTTTGGATATTTTCATAAATGTGTTAGTCTTGATGAAACATGTATAGATACTGCTATGTGTTGATATCTGTTCAGCAGAACACCAAGATTAAGTAAATACAGAATTAATCAATTGACATATAGCTGAAACTTCACTGAATATGTGCATTGAAACAATTGATGATTTGCATTAATGTATCAGAATTGAATAGCTGCATTCTGTAATATACCACAACAAAATGATGCTAGCATTTGTGTTTGTGTGTTTTGTGTGTATGCAGGTGTGTGTGCGCGCACCATCAAGTCAGTTCTAACTTGTGATGACAATTTTCAGGGTTTTCTAAGTAAAGAGTGCTCAAAAGCAGATCACCATTCCCTTCTTCTGGGGGGCTCTCCTGGGACTGTGCAATTTATCCAAGGCCACCCAGGTTGGCTTTTTTGAAATACACAGTGGGAAATTGAACTCCCAGCCTCTTGCTCTGCAGCCAAATACCTGACTCACTGAGCTATCCAGTCAGCTGACACTAACATTAATATATTTTTATATATTCCTTAGGAGAACTCTAAAGGAAGGCATTATACTGTAAATCTTAATTTTTCAGTATGGAACACATTGATGATTTTTTTTAGCTTTGTATAAAAGAAATATAAATGATGTACATAGACAGGCTGCATGTGTCTCATATGTGCTCCCCACAAACCCAATTTTAAGAAAAATGTTTTGAAAAAACATCTTGGCTGAAAAGTTCTTCTGCTGTCAAGAGGACGAGGAAAATGTTGGCATGTTCTGAGAGTCCACCAACCTTGAGTCTGGGGACCTGTTTTTGTCTTTGTTTTTGTTTTGCTGTCACCAGATGATGCAACCATGCAGGATCTGGGGATGGGCATAGACCTCCAGAGGTTGCTTTTCCCTGGGATAGAACATTCCTATGGTGAGGGCTGATTCCATGATAGGGGAACTGCCACATCAGTTCACTATGGCAATCACAGGGTATTTTGAAGGAGAGGGTGTCTTCCTTTTTCTATATGTGTGTGCATGTTTTAAATGTATCCAAGTGATGCGAACTAGAGAGGAAATATCTACAAGTCAAGGGAATAAATGGGGCTTTGAAGCTTGCAGGTGCAGAATACCGTCTTTAGGGCCCTACTGTCGACCAGGAATAGTGCAGGGGACACATATGTACGTATCTGCTGAGGTTTTGTACGTATGTCAAGGGGTCTCAAGTGCATATTTGCCATCACACTAGTATTGCATCATTTCTACCCCATCCAGTAGCTAAGGCAGTAGTGTACATTCTTTGAGGTGTTTAGCTTGGTGAAACATAAGCCTAATGGTCATAGGTAGTTATGTCTCAGTACAATTTGTTGTTCTTGTTCTGATTATTCAATTTGTTTTTGCTTGGTCACAGTTTTACACATACTACTTTCTATTTGTAAAGCTTTAAACGGAAATATTTAAAAAATGTAAAGCTAGTCATTAAATATAGGAGTTAACTTATGTTGCTTGAGCTTGATTAGAGATGAGTAGCAAAATACTGCAATAGTCGACATCTGAGTAAATGTCCATGGGTGCTTACCATCTAATACTCTCTTTTTGGTTGTATGTATGCATAGTGCTTTTCATATTTATATCCCACTTCATCTTTAGTGAGTTAAAGGTGAAGATGACACTTTCCTCATCCCACTTTACAACTCTGGGTGAAGCTGAGGGAGAATGACTGACTCAAGGTTCCTCATGATGGAGTTTCATCACTGAACCTTAAATGTTCTCAATCTCAATTCAGTACTCTGCCCACTACACCAGGCTGGCAGTGTCAGACACAGGTATACACACCCTGAGCTTCTGATGCTGGAAACAATAAAAAAGTAGCACATACACTATCAAAAAGCACAGATGAGAACTGTGGAATTGTAATGGAACACAAAGCAATATGTACAGTTAATGCTCATGGACTCCTTTGTGGTAAGCATGACAAGGTGAAGCGAATGACTTATCAGAATGTTGTACAGATGTTTAAGTTTGCTGTTGTCTTTCTGGTGTGATACCTGAAAGAAAGGATATTCTCCAAAGTACTCTGCATTCATGTCATGGGTGAAC